CTGCTAATTACCATTCTATCATTTTGATAGTATGATAATAGCTCCGACAGATGATTATAATTTCATAAAGTTAGGAACGAAGAGGTTGTTCATGACGAGAGACATCGACAAGACAAAGCAGAGGCAAAAATAGGAGGGGGAAGTGAAATAGCAGCAGCATAATGAGAGTTATAAACGYTAGGATGCGTAAAGAACATAGAGGAAATGCTTGATTTTTTGTAAGGAAAAAGGTTTGAGTTGATGGTTGAAATTGTGAAGATGGATAATGTGAATACTGTGTTTGAGATGTTCGATAAGAAATATATGCTTTATAGGTTTGTGGTTGATGTTGAAGGAAGTTATGAAACTCGAGTTCTTTCTTTTGTCAACACTCTAGGCTTTTATATTCCGGTTTCATGTTTGTTTGTAAGTTTTTTAACGGCACTATGGTTGCTTTTCATGAGAAAATAATAAAAGATGGACTGACAATGGGATCAAAACGTTTTTGTTCGAGTGTTTTTGTTTGGTTTGAGACAGATTATAAAAAAAACAATTAATATTGGGTTTTGGTTTTCTATCTTCTATTAATATTGGGTTTTGAATATGAATTGTTTCCTTCACATGTAGTTTCTATAAAATATTTTTTTTTGATTTTTATAAAGATCATTATTCTTTATTTGTTTTGATCTTTATTTTCTTTAAAGATCATTATTTCAAAATAAAATCTTGCGCAGGGCGCGGGTTATACACTAGTGTTTATATATGGAAGAAGTCGTATCTTTGGTGAGTCGCTTGGAGATTTGGAGATAAGCTCGAAGAAGGAAAAATTCCTCTTTTCTCGGATTGGGTGATCGGTCGATAGCAGTTTGGATATGGGTCGGATTTTTTAGGTGGGTGCAAAACCCAGTATCATTAGCATCAACATCAAAAATTTAAATAGAAAACGCCATATAAATGATATTTTTCTCAAGTTTTTTTTATTCTCATTTAGTTTTGCTAAAGTTTTTCATCATTTTTCATCTTCATAACATTCTTGTTTACAGATTGGTTTTAGTTGGAATGTTGGTTCATAACATTCCAACATCATTTTTCGTTGGAATGTTGTGGATCGACATATAAGTTTTAGTTGATAGGTTATCTTCTGTTTCATCCGGTTCCCTTTCTCTTTTGGTATTAATCTTTTGTATTCGATGCGATGATTACTCCCATGGTGCAGGATTGGGGCTCTCATGTGGAGAGATGTTGTGTTGTTACTCTGTATTTCAGTTTCGTGATTCTTAATAAATTTACCAGATGGAAAAAAAAAAAAAAAACATTCTTGTTTACTTGTGGTCCCAAGATTATGTTTTCCAGTTTTGCACCACATACCTTAAATTTTTTTTTTTAATTAATCTATTCTCCTTCATTTTGAATATATTTATAAACATATTTAAAATAAAATTGTTTATCTATTGAATTTTCTGAAAAAGTATAAAATGATTTTTTAATAAAATATTAAAATCAATAGTAATTAGAGAATTTTCTCTCCTATAAAAATGTCAAAATCAATTCGTTGTATAAATGTTTGAAAAAGAAAATTGTAAGGAATAACAATATATATATATTGACGCAACCCAATAGAATGAGTAAACGGAAGACTAAAAGAAACCCACACAAACCAAGTCGTCCCTAGCTTCCACTGTCTCACTCACCATTATTATGATGCCGTAGTCTATTGTCTTATCTAGAGCTGGAAATTCAGTTTGTTCGGATTGAGAAAATTCTGGCCGAACTAAAATGAAAAGTTCGATTCGGTTTGTTTCAAAATCGGTTTGTTCAGTTCGATTTTGAAAAGTTTCAATTCTGTTCTTAGTTTCTTTTTAATTAGAAAATATAGTATATGTTGTTAAAAATTTGGAATATTTGTTTATTGGGAGTTTTGGTTGGTTCAGTTATCCGATAATTTTTCAAAATAATTGGTTGGATACTAAAAAATTACGGTATGTGTTTAGGAAGAACTATATGAAATCCAAAGATCTATCGATTCGGAGATGGTGAACCGATAACCAAAATCGAAGATGCGGAACAGTTGGTAGCCCGAAACGGAATGATAGCCGAAAACCAAAAAGTTTGGTTCTATTTCATTGGATTGTGATTTTGTGACCAACACTAGTCTCTTCCATAATTTTCTTTTTTTCTTATGCTTCTCAAATTTTTGTATGTTGTCCGAATGGAACACCACAATTTCAATGACTTCTGCTTACATATACTATTTTACGTTGTTAGTCTAAGATATAGTTTAGAGTAAACAAAATTACCAATTGAAGGGTTGACGCTCTATTTATCATGTTTATTATTTATATTTGTTGAAATAAAAACGATGTGTAATACTGTGCATCTGGTGCAGAACAAAAGAGGACTACGGGCGGATAATTTTAGAAGGAAATGGCAGTGAAAACTCCAAAACTGAAGTTACATAGAGCAGCTCGATTTAATCAAAAACACCCTATAATAGAGCCACTACAGTCACGTTGCAAATTTGAAACTAACGGTGTTATGTCTTCTTTGTTATGTTAACAAGTAAACAACCCACACACATGTACATAATCCTCGACACTAGTATAAATCATTAAATCAATTTAGTATTTTGTTATTAAACTAACCCATAAAAAAGAAAAGTAAAAACAATAATAAGCTATCCCGCCTAAAACCTAAATCATACACTTACCCGATAAGAAAATGCACATGCACTCCACTTGACGCAGTAACCTAACATGGCGAGCGAAGACTTTTCGCCATAGACTTCAGTTCCCATAGGAGATG